TCGGCAGCACATCGCAAACCCCTCACAGCAGTTCCCACATGGAGCCCAGGGAAGCTCGCCACCGGAAACCCAGCGCACGCCTCAGCGCGGCTTCCGGTTCTGGGCGCTACGGCGAGAGCAAAGGGACAAACTTCCTGGAAACGCAAACGACGGCTCCGCCTCCTGGCAACGAAGCCCCGCCTTCGTCGACCGAACTTCCGACTCCCGGTGCCACCCTCCCCAGGGGTTGGCCCTCTGCTCCCGGCTGGCGTCGGAAGGTTCCGCCCCCCGCGTGCTCCTGTGGGAGCGGGCCGTCCCGTAGCTCGCGTCAGGCAGTCAAAACAAATGCAGGAGCAGAACCATGCATTGCAGGTACCTGTGCCGCCGCCCGGTCCAGCCTCCCAGCTCCGTTGGAGGCCACTTCTGAGCTTTCTTTTAAATGTACCCCTTTGGCCCGGCCAGTGTGGCTCAGTGGTTGAGCGTCGACCTATAGGAGCTCATAGTAGATTCCCCGTCAGGGGCACATGCCAGGGTTGCAGGCTCCATCCTCAGTGTGGGGCGTGCAGGAGGCAGCCGATCCGTGATTCTCATCATTGACGTTTCTATCTCCCTTCCTCTCTGAACAAAATTAAATTTAAAAAAAATTTTAAGATAGGACCATGAGCCCTAATCCCATTTGGGTACTTTTCCTACTAAAAGCACCTCCCTGAGAGACCTTTCCCTGGATGCCCAGCTTCCTGCAGACCCAGTCATAGCCCATATTTCTTTCTTTTTTTAAAAAAATATATTTTATTGATTTTTTACAGAGGAAGGGAGAGGGATAGAGAGCTAGGAACATCGATGAAAAAGAAACATTGATCAGCTGCCTCCTGCACACCCCCTACTGGGATGTGCCAGCAACCAAGCACATGCCCTTGACCGGAATCGAACCTGGGACCCTTCAGTCCGCAGGCCGATGCTCTATCCACTGAGCCAAACCGGTTAGGGCCAGAACCCATATTTCTTAAGGAAGTATGGTTTACTGCTTTCATGAAGGCAAATGCATTTCTGAGCCTCCTGAGCAGCAATATATTCTCCAAGGTTTTTTTCTTTATATGTTATTACAATCATCTTGGAATATTCAGAGTTACTCTACTCATAGGACCAATTCTGACCACTTCCCCCACCACTAATCCACGGAGGCGGGATTGGGATCAATTTAGATGTTATTCCACTCTTGAGCAGAAGACCCAGACTTTCCAACCAAGCTCGCAAGTCTATTTGCAAACTGCAGAGGAATTTGCTATCGGGTTTCTTCATCTGTTCTTAGAACATCTCCGGCAGTCTTACTCAACCATAGTTGTTATTTTTAGCTGCGTTTTGGAATTCACAATGCACTGCCACCCTGCTCTCCACCAAATCAAATCAAATACATGAGATTTTTGTTTGCCTGAGTATCTACAGCAACATTAGCTTTTCCCACATGTGTATCTTTTAAGTTTAATTTTAGTAATTAAAAAAAAATTCAAAGGGCAGGGTTAGAATTTTCAGATTTTAGGAATGCCCATATAATTATTGGTTATATTAATGCATTGACTATATTAATTATTAGTAAATTGTATCAATCATTAATATATGAAGGGAAATATCTGAAAGTAATTCAAGGATAGACTTTAAAAATAACATAGAAGAGCCCAGCTGGCATAAGTCAACAGATTGATTCCCAGTCAGGGCACATGCCCAGGTTCATGGCTTGATCCCTATTATGGGGCGTGCAGGAGGTGGCAGATCAATGATTCTTTCTCATCATTGTTGTTCCCATCTCTCTCCCTCTCCCTTCCTCTCTGAAATCAATAAAAAGACATAAATTTAAAAAAAAAAGAATGAAAGAGAAAGGAAAACCTTCCGTCACGTGGGCTCTCTCTGCTCCATTGTCGTGAGCACTCAGGCCCCCATCCATTCAGCGTATATAGTACAGGCTACGGGTGTCACCTGAGGTTATGCTATCTCCCGCTCAGGCACCTCTCCTCATCACTTTCCATCCTCTCTGGCCCCCGAGGCTCGTTTTAGCCATGGGTCACACGGCCAGCTTGTCTACAATGTCCCTGCAGAGATTCGGTGACCCTTTGCCCACTGTCCAGTGCCCCCACTCCAACACTGAGGGTCACATCCCATGCATGTGACTTAGAGGTGGGGGTCTAATAGAGGGCTTTGCCTGCAGCAAGTGTTTCAAGAAGAACGTGTGGCCCTAACCGGTTTGGCTCAGTGGATAGAGCATCGGCCTGCAGACTGAAAGGTCCCAGGTACAACCAAGGGCTGTGGGCACATCCCAATAGGGGGCGTGCAGGAGGCAGCTGATCGATGTTTCTCTCTCATCGATGTTTCTAACTCTCTATTCCTCTCCCTTCCTCTCTGTAAAAAATCAATAATATATATATATTTTTTAAAAGAATAAGATGTAGGCAAGACAGTTCCTGGGAGCTTGGGGAACAATCTGGCCACAGTGCCCGGGGAGCTGTGAGCCATGTCCCATTTCCCCTGGAGGAAATGACAGAATAAGGGATCTCTCTGATTAGCAGGAACTCTGCCAACCATCCAGCGGCAGCTCACCTGGAACGCCCAGCCAGGAACATCTCCCTGGCACAATGGCTTTCGTTTCATTGCTGTTCAGTTCCAGACACATAAACGTACAGTGGGAAATGCAGGGATAGAACCGGGGACAGGGAAAGCAGGCAGTGGAATCAAATACTTTATATTTTTATTGATTTCAGAGAGGAAGGGAGAGGGCGAGAGATAGAGAAACATCAATGATGAGAGAAAATCATCGATGGACTGCCCCCTGCACGCCCCCTACTGGGGATGGAGCCTGAAACCCTGGCATGTGCCCTGACCAGAATCGAACTGTGACCTCCTGGTTCACAGATCGACGCTCAACCACTGAGCCACACTAGCCGGGCGGAACCAAATACTTTTAAAGAGCTACATGGACTTCACGGAATTTCCTTTAAATAATCCCCCGGGATCATCAAAAATAGGTCCCGACTGCCCTCGTTGGTCCTGCAGAGTCCTAGGTCGTGTGCCCCTTCTAACTTGAGCACCAAGCCGGGCAGCTGTGGGCTCAGGGCTGGGGTGTCTGGCAGAGCAGCTGTGGCTGCCAGGCCTCTGCCGGGTTAGAATAGTAAACAGCTGTTTCTCAGAAACAGAGATAGGGCTAGCCACAGCCTCACCTGCTAAATTTAAACTTAATAAAGCGCTTTCCTAACAAATTAGACCAGTGATTTGCAGCCAGGGTGGGGCCGGGAGAACTCTGTCCCCAGGGCATTGGGGGAAGGGACCAGCAGGTAGAGTTTGATCCGGTGATTCTATGCCCCACTTGTGAACCCCGACGCCTCCTGGGAAAACTGGCGCAGACCGGGGAGGCTGAGGGAGAGCTGTCCAGCCTTGCCTGCAACGTGCCCACCGTGCTCCTAACCCAGTGGTCGGCAAACCGCGGCTCGCGAGCCACATGCGGCTCTTTGGCCCCTTGAGTGTGGCTCTTCCACAAAATACCACGTGCGGGCACGCACGGACAGTGGGATTGAAACTTCGTGGCCCATGCGCAGAAGTCGGTTTTCAGAAAGGAAATGGACGAAACAAGTAGACAAGACGAGTGTGGATGGGAGAGTTGGAAGGGGTCGACCTCAGCGAACGTACCTCCATCAGATGGAGGACGTTTTTAGCAAAGGCCAGCTTAGGAGCATCCTCATTAACTTAATAACAATGTACCTACCTATATAGTTTAAGTTTAAAAAATTTGGCTCGCAAAAGAAATCTCAATCGTTGTGCTGTTGATACTTGGCTCTGTGGACTAATGAGTTTGCCGACCGCTGTCCTCACCCTTCAGCATGAAGCTGGGCGGCCCTGAAGGAAGAGGATGGAGGGAGGTGTCCTGAGTCCCAGCCCTGCCCGGGGTTGCCCGGGGAACTTTCCCACGCGCTGAGGGAGCCGCTGAAGAGGCTGGATTGGAGAACGAGAATGAGGTGAGTATAATTAAATGTTGACAACAGTTGACGGAGAGTCTTTAGAGGGTGACTGTGGATGTCATCACCATGTCTTCCAGAATCAGGGACGTGGGCAGACAAGTGGCCATGCAGCCTGGAGCTGATGGCGCAAATGGGTGCCTCCTGCCCCTGCGGGTCTCAGGCCCGGCCAGTCTCTGCGAGAGCTGGGGAGGGGGCTCCCTCTGGCAGAGACTCCGGGCAGAGGGGGAGCTCAGATGCCATTGGTTAACGAGCCACATGACCCTGGAAATGCAAATGTATAAACGGAAACCCACAGGGAACCTATGTTTTGCTGCTGCTATTTTCTGGTTGGTTAGCCAGGAAGAATTGCATGAGTGTGGCTCAGTGGTTGAGCATCGACCTATGAACCAGGAGGTCACCATTCGATTCCCAGTCAGGGCACATGCCCGGGTTGCAGGCTCAATCCCCAGTGTGGGGCGTGCAGGAGGCAGCCAATCAGTGATTCTCTCTCATCATTGATGTTTCTCTCTCTCTCTCTCTCTCTCCCTTCCTCTCTGAAATCAATAAAAATATATTAAAAGAAAAAATTACCTCCTTAGTGTCAATACACCTGATTTAGCTGCCTGGTGGTGTGTTTCTTTCTTATAAATATCTTCTCTCCCCACCTAAAATGTAAGCCTTTGGGGGAGAAATTACATGTTTTGCCTCTTTATATCCCCAACATGTAACATGTTATATATAGTTCGTTATGTAAGGAGAGCTCAACTCCTAGGATATCGTCCCCACATAACCGTGAACACACCTTTCACTTTCAGACGTATACCAGTTGGGAGAATGCGTTTTCTGGTCTCCTGATAAATAAATGACTGTGGATGGTGATGGTGGTGGAAAAGAGCCCTTCATGCTGTATTGTATTCTATTTTCATATTTTCAAATATATATTTTTATTGATTTCAGAGAGGAAGGATGAGAAAGAGAGAGAGAGAAACATCAGTGATGAGAGAGAATCATTGATCGCTGCCTCCTGCACACCCCCTACTGGGGTTCAAGCCCGCAATATGGGTATGTGCCCTGACTGGGAATTGAACCCTGACCTCCTGGTTCATTGGCGGATGCTCAACCACTGAGCCATG